CCCTGCTTGGCTTACTCTCATTACCCTAGAACTGGGTAAATTTTGCCCCCCCCCCAAAAGCCCAAGTTACTAGTAAAATTGTAGTCATAACTTAATTGGGCTCACTTATCACATATCCTTTCTTTGAGTTCTAAAGAATAACTTACAATTGAATACCAGCTGGAAAACAAAGGCTTATGCAAAACTAATAGTAGCAGTACTGCTAGGCCTTAACTTAGTGGTAATCCAATAGACATTAAATAAACTGGAACATCATCTTACCCATAAAAGCTCCATAATTGGAGCAGAAAGAGATACTATTTCTCACAAACTGCATAAGAAGGAAACATTCTGCATAGGTTAATGATTTTAGTTAATCAGTTTAATGAGCATAATTGGCCAATTCATGCAATATAAACCACATACAAGACTTAAATATAGAATTTTATATAGGTGTTCAATTACTTTTGATCAGTTCAACATGTATTATGGGTTGATTCATGCATAAATCATATTTGTCATGCTGAATCAATCCATTCTACAATACGTTCTGCAGATATACGTAAAACCCATTGTTACAAATTGATCCATAATGTAGTTGGCACGGTACGTTGAATACTGGGTTTGATTGTTACAATCCTACAAATTATTGGAAATTCTAATAGTTAAAGATTTGAACCTTTTAGTCTTAACTGTAATTAAGCCAGAAATGCAATGATTCTTGCTTTAGTTCAATTTAAGTCTTTACTATTAGACAAAAGGCATCTTTTCAAAATGTCACACATACTAAACTAGAAAAAGTTTTCATTTAGACTTGTCAATTTATCTATCTAATATGTAGAACTGTCCATGTGATATGGTGAAGAAGGACCCAACTCTCCATGTTAATTTTTTACCTGTATAGGTAGCTTAGTTAGATAGTTAAAAAAAATGGCAGGGGAAGTACAACCACCATACAAGTTATAACATAATGCGACTTCTCGCCACACTAATCCATATTAATAGCTTATTTGACATTTAGTTTTTAAACTTATAGTGCCATTTATTTATATTTCAAAGTTACTTACTCTTTATGCAGAGTTGGGACCTTCACCATAACCGTCCATGTAATTCGTTACATAGAACCAGTTACACAAGTTAAATTAAAACCAGTTATGTGAAAACATTATAAAGGATCAACACTTGTTAAGTATTTATATGAAATAGCATCTCCCGTGCCGAAAGATTCTAAACAATAATCAAATTAGTATTTACATTGGGAAAATGTTCTCATTTTAATGAATGCGAATTATACTTACGTAATGTTTGAAATTACATTTAGGCTTAGAATTCTTCAAAATGTATAAGCATGACAACGTAGGAAAAACAGTTAGTTCTAATTTCGATTTTTTTACGTAACATTAAGTTACTTCATCCAAATATTGCCTACTTCATAAAACCTATTGGGTAAGTGACATAAAACAAGTTAATATTTCGTAATTAATACTATACATTATACTGGATTACAAAGATTTAACAAAACAAAAAAGCACCTACCATCTTGACCACCACAAAGCTTCTATGGGAGAGACCTGATTACATGAAAACCCGAAAGTGTATTACCATAAGAACTAGGAAATGGTGAAATATTAATAAAGTTGAGACATACGACAAAATATTTTACATATGTAATGAAATGAAACAATTTGAAACTCATTTTTTTCATATACCTTTAATTTTCTAATTTATTAAATGTATTGCTCTCTTTAATAAAAATTATTTTCCAGGGGAAGTGGTTTGTTCGATTGCTCTTCCTTTTAGCACTCACAATAGCATTTATATAATGTCGTTTAAACGTAAGGGTGGATTCCGAACACACGAGTAGTAGTACAGTGTAGAAGAGGTGTGGCAGGTATAAATACATTCGTAAAGTTGAAATCATTTTTGTATTTGTTGGTTCTCACGTAACTTTATAATTTTCCCCCTATTTTTCTTTACCATTTTCTTATCAATGTCAAAGTCACTTTCAGGTTCGGTGTCTGCATTTAGGAAAATTGATGTTGATCAGTATAATGAGGATTACTACAAGGATGACGAAGGAACTGAGGTCTCTTCTGTTACTGGGCCTGACGAAGCAGAAGTGACAAATTTACTGAACCAATATCCTTTATGCCGGTCGTATGTATATGCATTAATATTAACTTTCGATCAAAGTAACCTACCCATTAAGCACATACACTATAGACTATAACTAAAATAAAAATCAACCCTCCAATTAATGATTGTAATTAATTAAATACATAGTTTTTAACGTTCTTACTTACACTGTTAGTGTTACATAGATTAGAATATACTTTTCATGAAATGTATATATACACATATAGACACACACGCTAGCTATCATTTCAGGCAATTTTTTAGTATTTTACATAAAGAATGATCAACAGTTACCTTACAAACAGACTGTTCATTGTATTGACATCAGAATATTTATTAATAATTTTGCCAAACATGTAGGCAGATACTAGTGATGATATATGTGCAAGGGGCAGTTTATTTCTTGAACCTGTTTAAAGCTTTTCTTGCACACAACCTTGATGAAAAAAACAAATCAAAATTAATCCACCCTTATTTTTCAAGAATTAATTGATTCACCATATAAACTCCAATAATTAATTGACAGTTTTTCTGATAAATGTGATCAAAAACTTAAAAATTACTAAAGAAATTACTTGAAGAACATACAACACCATTTGTCTCGTACAGTGTAATGAAAATACAATCAGGACTTTTAAAGAGTGTTTCAACAACTACAAATATTTTACTAACACTTGAAACAGTCCTTCCTTTTGCCCAACACTTCAACCAACTTGGTAATTATATTAATGATGTGATTCTCATTGGTATCGAAACTCGTTTCAGAACTAAAGCTGATAGAGAAATGAAAGAATCCTATGGATTGCCACCTTAAATACTATTTACCTCGTGGAATATACCTAGATCCCGGAATTGGTGATTTTCAACCACTAATTAGTTTCCTGTCTGACAAATAAGTTTTTTTCTTTCTTATGGGGGTATAAGTTCTATATTTTTACTCCTGATTTTGTGTAATACATTATATTTATTTATGATAATTTTCCACCTTTGTTTTCTGTACATTTAGTTTTACTTACTTGTTCTTGTTGATTGATTTTCATATCACATCCTTATTTTACTTTATTAAAACTCAGTAGGTATTGAATTGACATGATGTCACTCCAGCTTTTTTCGTACCTTACTCGGCTATTCTTAGTTTGTCTCATATTGAAGAAAGATCCACTGTTCGAAAGCTCTCAGGTTATAGGGTTTCATAGTTTTGTATTTTGATTAATTTCATGAACCTATGTGTTTTCCTAACATTGTGAATTGTTATATGTCAAAAATGAGTAAGGGTCCTTTTAAACACCTGAATCAAGCCTTATTCTTCTGCACTACACAGCAAACAATTTATAACAACCCTTTGCTCCCTCTCTTCTAGTCAGCCCTTAATCTTTTCAGCTTATTTATCTCCCATACCCACAAAGATAATTTTCTTCACTAGTTTTTTTATGTGACACTTTATCAAAAACCTTCCAAAAATCTTGAGAAGTCAGGAACTGGCATTTTTATTAATTTCATTTCATATTAATCCAGTTAGGACAGAGCAAAAATTATTTGTAATTATGGACTCTTCTTGATATTCTTTATCAGCATCTTCATACTTATCACTTAATTTTATTCTTTCACTCTTAAATAGTTTGTAAAATCTGCTTTGGAAATAAGTTACTAAAATACTAGTGAGAAAATATTTTTATTGTCCAAAATTTCATTTCTGTAGTTTCATCAGGAATTCAGCAATGTAAATGAATTCAGACAAAATAAAATGTATATAAATGTAAAATGTAGAGAGCATCTGTGCTTGGATTTACTCGTTTATATTTGTGATTGCACTGAACTAATTCTCATCATAGAAATCTCTGAATTTGTTTTTTCATGGAAAAGAACAAAAACTTGTTATCTTTGACTGGGTTTGTGTTACACTTACTTATTTTTGTTATTTGAAAAATTTTCTGACAGTTTGTGACCTTAACAGTAATAAAGGAAAAAACATTGATGCCCTAAAAGTTGTATTCAGGTCTGCTCCTCTTGGCTCAAAAAATCAAACTGTGAAGGTAAGCCTATATACTTCTTATTGTTTTTTTGTTTTTTTGTGAAGCATTAGTTTCAGAATATTTTGCCAATTGTCAGTTATTGCTGTAGCAAATAGAATTGGTAATTATACATTGCATATTCATGAAACAGTGTGACATTTATACAATTTTTAGTATAAAAAAAGATAAAATAAGAAAAAACAAAATGACAGAAGGGATATGACTCATCATAGTCCCCCCTCATGTGAAATAAAAAAAAAAAACTAATACAAATGTAAAAAGTAATGTACTTTTGATATTCTATATCATCTTAACTCTTCATTCACATCCATATACCTATCCAACATGACTTAAAAAGGAACTCAAAATCATATAATAGCATAAACAACTTCATGATCAAACCATTCTAAAACATTGTCTTTAATCCAAAATAAATTTGTTAAGAATAAGCTCGCTTTTAGCACTTAGAACTATTACCCCTAATATTATAGTTTGTATTACTGACTTGTTTTGTTCCACCATTCAACCCACAAGGAAACATTTCCAACCCTACTAGCCATTTTGAACACCTGAATCAGGCCTCCCACCCCCATTCTTCTAGAATCCACACAAAACAAATCAAAAATTTTAAGCCTTTCTTCATAGCTTAAATAATTTAAATCGTGAATTGTTTTTGTAAATGTTGATATCCTTCCTGTGGTTAGATAACTAAAACTGCTTACAGTACTCCTGTTGGGGTGCCATCAGAACTTTATACAAGACTATAGTAAAAGGGTTAGTATTCAAGCAGTATCTCATTGAATTATCTAGGAAGAATTTTTAACACCAATTTCAAGTAAGTGAGATCAACAGAAACAAAAGATTAACCATTCCCTGTAAATGGTGATTCTGTTTTAATATTTTTGCTTTTTACAGTATTGTTTCTGGAAAAAAAAATTACTACTGAAAAAAAAGAAGAATTTTCTTACCATTTATCACAGTTTGGAGTGTTCAAATTAGTTTTAACAGAAAATATCCTCATACATTATTTCATGACATTAGTCAAAATATTTAAACAATACAAGTTGAGGAGGTAATGAAATATGGGGGTCAAAAATCAAAAAACTTTTGTTAGCATAATGAAGCAAAATGATATTGTGAATATGATATGAGGTGAAGTTAGATTATTTTAAAAGTGTTTCTATGTATATTAGTTCATAATATTATTGTTACATGATCTAAAATGCATGAAATGGAGTTTATTTCATTTGGGGGATTACTTTGAGGTCATAAAGATCACTCTGAATGAACACTGTATTATTGCACTTGTTTGGTTATTTGTTTATTTTTAAAGTTTTCTTATGATTATCTATGATATGAAATAAATATACCTGTTACTCTTGTTTATGCCAATGATATGAAAAAATGATTTGTAAAAATAAAAGTTAAATAACCAATTATATAAAAGATAAATAAATGAAAAGAATGACCAACGATCTTACCAGTTCTACTTTTCACACTCCCACTATGTAGGCCAGGTGGTTAGGGCGCTCGACTCGCAATCTGCGGGTCGTGAGTTTGAATCCCCGTCACACCAAACATGCTTGCCCTTTCAGCCGTGGGGGCGTTATAATGTGATGGTCAAGAAGTACAAATGGAAAACATCAGTAAATTTAAAAGCGAATTAGATACGTTAAAGAACGATTTGTTGTGTGTTACACAAGGATACATT